TATATATATCTGTGTGTGTGTGTTCGTCCTTCAATGTTCAATGAAGTCTGCGAGCCTTTGGTACTTTACCACCTGACACTTTAAGGCATTTACCCTAAAGCAGCTCACAGGCCTACCTTACGCGGGACTCCAATGCTTTGCAGCTGTTCCGCGACGTGGCTGAACAGGATGGCTGGGCGCTTTGCGACCTCGTGGCTTGGTCTGCACTTGGGTCGGTACTAGGCCGCTTGGATCAGCTTTAAGTTGGGATTTGGGGTTTAGGGTTCTGTGCGAACTCTGTGGCTGCTCGGGGGCAGGGAGGGAGTGGTTTGTTTGAGCTCCATTTGCCTACAGGCTGTGTGGAGGTGCAGTAAGTTCAAGTGGGTGCTATCTTGCAGACATGTCATGCGATGCACTGAAGCTGCGACTTCCATGATGGTCTAGGACCGATGATCGTGATTGCAGGGCCTGCCAACCCTGAAGGATGAAACTGAATAGTGCCAACAGTCTTGATTGCCTCCCAACTGCACGTCCAAGAGTCGAAGAGTTCGTGGCATGCAACTTGAACTAAGCATGTCGAAATCAAGACTTTCCGGAAAGTTGTGGCAGATCTAGCTGGTAACAGTGGCAAAACCAAAGGACAGGAGCATCAGCAGCACTTGCAGCAGCAGATGCATCATTGCGAGTGAGCAAGCCCTACTAGTTGTCATTCGTAGATCAGTACCTGTGAAAATGTCGATGCAAGTGCAACTTCCCTTACATGGAACCCGATTACAGTACCCTATTCATTATGGTACCCTTAACGGGAACCCTTAATGGGAACCCGATGCCGGAGAAAGGCCGACTCCGGCAATCTCGACATGCGAGGTAGTGGATCAGTCTCACGGGCGACCAGCAGAGAGGGACTTCCTGTACTTGGTTCGCCCCTTCGAAAGCAGATCACGATTTATATTGTTTGGGGTATGTCAAAAGACTCAAAACTGACCTAAAATTGTAGAATGGTTTTCCAGTATGTTGCTTGCGTCACCTAAGTGGCAGTTTCCAAGAGGACACTGTCCAGTTGTTACGTTTTCTCCGGGTTCACAACTCTGCCGTATGAAGTATGAGCCCTCAGAACTGTCACAAATCATTAATTCCGCCATCGGTATATATGCGATGATATACCCTTTCGTGATACTACACGGTAGGGGGTGTAATTCTAGTGGTGTCCACCTTGTCTACTTGCCATTCGATTACAGAGACACGACCCGTGACTGAGGAAGCCTCCGTCCGGGAATAGAAAGGCCACCGAGATGTGCTTTGTATGCTCATGCCACTCGGCCACAGCTGCGTCGAACAAATTGTGGTGAATCGGGGTTCAGGATCGAGCTACTAACTCTCTCTCTCTCCCTCTCTCTCTATATATAGAGGGGCCTAAATAATTAACAATACTATTTTGGAGGTTCCTTATTATAAATATAGTATAATATACCCAAAACGCTGTTCTATAACTATTAAGGCCTCTACATTACAAAGCTCATGATCTCCCAAGAGCACCCGCATTCTCATGAGAAGGAAGAGGACATGCATGTTTCTCGGGGCGCCTCCGCTTTCTTAAAGACCCACTTCGAAGATAAGTTGTGGAGACAGCGAAGTGCACAGGTAATATTCCTCCATCACCGCCGACATCTCCATCCCAAATCATGAGCGCACCTATCCATGGTTGCCAGAAACACCAGTGGATACCCTTTCCTTTTTCCTTGATTTCGATCGGGACCATGACTTGCTAGCATCATGTTCATCATGTTTGTTTTGTATGACTGTCGTATTCGTGGTGTTGGTGACGATGATGACTTGATGATGATCAAGGTGCTTCGGTCCTGCAAAATTATCTCAAAATGCTGCCCAATTCCCATCTCAGCAGCGAAGGCGAACGCTACATGCGCCTTAGCTCTGGAGGCTTGGGCCAAAGCTGCTGGCATCGCCCCAGCTGCTTGCTTCAATAATCGCGCAGCACCGAAGGGATAGCGCTACTGAACACCCACCTTTGATGACACCGGAATACATAAGTCTAGTAAGCTCTTCAGACTCTTCCCCCATTGTACTTGCAGGTAACAGTACCGAAAACAAGAACATTTTCATGTAAAGTAAGGCAAGCAGTGCAGAGAAGCCATCACCCCACACTCGACTGCCCTTGAGCTTATACGCACTGTAGACCCGTTTAGATTCGGGCCCCCGAGGTCCATATAGCTTGGATCCTACTTTCCCTGAGACTCCCAGATAACCTGCAGAGGTTTGTCTGGATGGAGGCCATCGAGCCTGGCTTGTGCGCATCTTGCTTACGACTTTCCAGCTGTGGGTTTAGGGCCTCCATAGGGGCTTGAGCTTGTGGTTTACGTCGTTGCTCTTGCTAACTCTTATTGCTCCTTTCATCACTTGTCGTTAGCTTGTCGTCGCTGTGGTTTGGCGATGAGAAGGCAGAGCTGCCCGCCATCACCACGCAAGCCATTGCCTGGGGAAGTCGAGAGTCTTTCCACTCGGGTATCACTGGCAAGAAGTCCCCAAGGTGAGCACGATCGCTTTGCTAAGCGAATGGTCCGGCTCCACAAACGCCGCGGGCTTACACCTTCATGTCTCTGTACCTGTCAATGTGGATTGCATGTGTGTACATACGCCGTATGTTTGCATCATGAACATATGTATAGGTAAAAACGGTGTGTTTCTATTCTAGCTGTCTGAATCTCACTGAAGTAGCATGACAAAGATTAGCAGGCATTTGCGACCGACGGTTCTGTGCAGTACAGTATAGACTGCTATATGACTTATCCGTGCACGCTGAAGTATCTATATTTCTAGATCTGTCTGTATATGCATCTGGTACATTACAGCTCACATCCCTTTACGTGACGTGCCTCACACATACCGCCTGTCATCTTCGGTGCAAGGCACTGGTACGGCAACAGGCTGCGCAATGCGAAAACGAAAATCAGCTCGCAAGCGTTTGAAAGCTTGTGGCCAGTTTGCGAAGGGGTGGACTAGCACGCCACCCCATTTAAGGTCGACGGTAGGCCACTCATGCTTACACTTCTTCTTGATGGCAAAGCCAAAGGCCAAAGAACCGCCACTCGGATAAGGGCCACGCAGTACAGCAAGGACGGGCGAGACCAACCCAGGCAGACGCGAAAGCGACAACTTTGGACTGGGCCCCAAAACCGTGGATGTTATGCAAGATGTAGCCGACCTGAGAAACCGCGCAACACGGACCCCCTAAAATTACGGGCGGGATGCTTGGCCCAGAATGGCAGCATGGGCTTCCTCTTACACCCTAAAAAAAAAACCTGCGCCTCAAGGATGCCAGACAGATGGTGCAACGCTCGACCACGCACAGCCACTGGAAGACCAGTCGAAGGTCCTGGCCGTGCCTTGGCCTGTTGTAGGACTTTGCAATAGACTGTAGAGTCTTGGTGTTTATTAATCTAGCATAATGAAGTTTGTGGGGACCACAATGGAAGACCATTATTAATATGATTTGGGACGAACTTCAGTCACCAAGCGTTAAGGGCTGCAGAGTGTTCTGCGAGATGTCTGAGTAGAGGTCATTTTGCTGGGACTCCGTGGGGCTGGCAGTAATATTGAGCTAGTGGCAAGTCTCCCCATGAGATAGGTGTGAAGTGTGGATACAGTCAATTGCGTCAAAGATAAGAAGACAACATACCAGTAGTCAGCACAGGGAGCGCAACGAAACCTGCCTTGCCCAGTCGTGCACATCCTGCTTTTCATGGATGTGATGTTGAAATCATGCTCATTGTGCTGATCTTGGAATGTTAGCCTCTTTAACAGAACCGCTTGGATGCACCTTTCTTTTCAAATCCTAACACTGCACACTGTGGGCATTCTCTGCAGTGCTCAGCCCTTGATACTGCCGAAACGAAACTCGAACGCCCAGAGAGTCCGAAGAATCGGCTGCAGTTCCTCGGAGTCCGTGCAATCCCGAAGATCAGGAGAAGCTTCAGGCAGTGGAGACCGAGGTCAGTGACGAGGAGGCTGCGTTCACAGCTTGCTGAGCTTGTGATGTATCGGGCTCACACGCAGAGTGTAGGGGAGTTTCGTGGGTTCAGCGGCTTCCTGGTGCAGCGCAGAGAGCCCCACCATGATACAGGAAGCCTACCCGGCCTACCCAAGAAGCGACACTCGGGGATACAACAGGGCAGAAGCTGTCCGTAGGGATCGTGTGCCTACAAGCTTGTCCCAGTGGCCTGCAGGCAAGATTATCTACCGTACTGGGCCTTCTTCATACGTGAACGGTGCAGAGAACAACTTCTGAGCCTGCCTCGTGGACTTCCTGGCGAATCTGCAGCTCCCACAGCCTTGTGCTCCAATATCTGCCTCGCGTTCACCTCGCAGACGAGACATCAAGCGCATCTGAAGCGGTTTGCGGGCCGCTTTGGCGGCAGGAGAACTGGGAGTTGACGCGTGCGCGCGGGCATGATTGGCCCCGAGCGATCCTACGTCTCGTCCACACATGGAGCGACGGTGTAAGGTTGGGCGCATTCGGGTGCTGGGCTTTAGGATTCAGGGTGTAGCTGTTGGATTTCATTGGTTTAGGTCTCAGGGGTTTTAGGCTGGGAGGTTTAGTGTTGGGTGTGTTCGTCAGCTCAGCGATGTCATGATGTGATGACCGCTGCTACCGCAAGCTACGACTCCTTGCATCTGAGAACAAAAGGTGTAGTGCAGGGTCGGAATGATTATTCATGCTGTCCGCTTGCAGTCCTGCAGAATGAATCCATAATGTATGCCGAAACCTTATTAAAATCATTCAGGCCCCTACATTATCGGACAGCTGTTGCTCGCCTTGGTTGCTGCTGTGGGTCACGGCAGTTCTGAGTTCAGTGAGCTCGTTGTTGTATCCTCACAAGTCCTGACCACCGAATGCACTGATGGCTCTCGGAGGCATGAGGGTTGTATTCCAGAATAGTACAGCTCAGAAGTAAGAAGCAATTCTGGAGACTTGTCTATCTTTATTGCAAACCAGTTCAGCTTCTGGAAGCCATCACAGCCACACAGCCGGGGTCAGCCAAATGGCCAAGGTCGCCTTTAAGCCACTCCACCCTTTGAAGCACCTGCCAGACTTGATAGCCACTGAAGTCTAGACGGATAGCACCTATCAGCTGCTATCGAACATACCTGTCGGCTTGTCGTTCCAGGGTCCTCAGGACCTTCCCGCTGTAGTTTT